GGCCAGCATCTATGCAAATTTATTGAAACAAAAGAAAGCGTTTGCATAAGAAAGTGTTTAATTTCCAGAGGATTGGTTTGGGACACCAACATGGCCGCCGTTTCATTGTTTTGGGACACCAATATGGCCGCCGTGACGTCATGTGAAAACACTCTTTAGATTGGCAAAACAACAATTTTGCACGTGCATCAAGCTTTTTTGTACATTTCTTTGTCGTCACTGCACGACTATGACGTGAAACTGCCTAATTTCACGTTTTGAGAAGGACGTGAACACAAGACAGCGACTACTTTTTTCTTTTCCCGAACTTCGATACTATCTTTTAGAATTCAACTCCACAAAAAATTGCTAACATTTGACGCATTGAACAAGATGGATTAAGCGCGATAACTTTGAAGCAGCGTGACTTCACTTTTTAAGTGACGTTTTCGTAGCCGTCGCCGTCGCCGTTATTGTAAGAACTTACGCAACAGGACGGGAGAGGAAAGAAGACGGCAAACCTTGTGTGACAACCGTGACAACAAATTTGTTTGAAATAACTTTTCGCCAACCATCACTTTCCTTTAAACAGATCTTTTTGTAAAAACCAGAAAACATTAATGCTGAGTGAAGATCACGACATAACATGTAAGTTATAGCCCTGTCACGTTTGTCACACACAAACATTTTGCCGTCCTCTTCTTCCTGCCGTACTGTTGCGTGGAGCTTAAGCAACGACGACGGCGACTTCAACGAAAACGGCATAAAAGCAATAGGTTTAGATTGGCAAAACAACGGCTGCGGTCACTTTAAGATCCGACGACGGCGACGGCAACGGGAACGCCACAAAAGCAATAGGTTTATTAGCAAAACAACAATTTTGCACGTGCATCGCGCTTTTTGTACATTTTTTTGCCGTCACTGCACGACTACAACATGAAAATGCCAAATTTCACGATGCACAGAGGAAGTACAAAAGCGACTACGAAACTTTCTCTCTCTTTCTGAACTTAAATATGGTTCTTAGGAATTCAAGGAGGGTTCGCCTACATTTCACAAAGCTAGTGACTTGGAGAAATCGCGATGAAGACTGAAAGAATGCGAATTCACTTTTAAGCGACGTTTTCTCTGCTGTCGCCGTCCTCGGATCTTAAGATCCCAAGTTACAACACCTAAAATTTTTTATTTTCTTAACTGAAACTATACCTTATTAAAATAACTTCTGCGCAAAAATTTTGCGGTTTGAACAAAACGCGATTTTTTTACCAATTTTTGAAGTCTACATTTTTGCGGTACAACCGTGCCGCTGATCATGCAAACTAGCAGGCTCACATATGACGTAATGTGACGTAAATTAACGAACTCTCACTTACCTTGCCTTCACCAGCTGTACACAAAAAAGATAAATTACAAGTCAGTATTGCATCACAATGTCTTCGCAAGAAGAAAGTTTTTCTGAAAAAGAAAAACCTATCAGAACTCTTAATGCTTTCCTTTGGATAATGTCACGTGTTCCTTAAAGTACGTCATATGACGTCATTTTCCAAGGAAGAGTAAGACGAATGGTGTGCCAAAATGGCGGCAAATTTGAATGTTTTTGAAAAATTCTAAAAATATCGTCTTTGGTTCAAATCGCAAATTTTTTTCGCAGAAGTTATTTTAATAAGGTTGTAGTTTCAGATAAGAAAATAAAAAAAATTTAGGTGATGGGCACTTTAAGACGGGGATAACTATAATTAGCTATTTCGGTAATGTGACCGCTTCTCTGTTCGCTCCAACTATAGTTAGAAAATTTACGCCTTGGTGATCCGAAACAATACAGACTAACTATAGTTATACCCAAGCAGGGTTTGTGGGTTAGTCTTAAGTTTACAAACAAACAACCAATCAGAATGTGACACTTCTTTTCGCACGTGCGAGATGAGCATATATAAATATGCAAAATAGTAACCAAGCATGAAACGAGGGAGAAAAACAACAAACAAAAAAATTTACATGGGCTAATTAGAACTAACTGTTTTTTGTTAACTGCGTAGTGTGACCGCAATGTCGACCGAAAGCACTAACTACAGTTAGGTATGACATCAAGTAAACTTTAGTTACGTCGTAGATGTGACCGCAGCCAACAACTCTGCACGCTTTTCTGTACATTTCTTTGCCGTCACTGCACGACTACGACGTGAAAATGCCAAATTTCACGTTTTGTGGAGGACATAAACACAAGGTAACGACACTCTTTTTCTCTTTCTGAACTTCGATACAGCCGTTTTAGAATTCATCTCCAGAAAAAATTGCCAACATTTGACGAATTGAATGAGGTAGATTAAGCGCGATAAAGTTTGAAGCAGCGCGACTTCCTTTTCAAGTGACGTTTTCGTAGCCGTTGCCGTCGCCGTCGCTCCATTATCCTTCGACAAATACGACAAGGGCCTTTTGATTTCGGATCTTTTTTTTCCGTATTTTGAGGCGCATAAACTCAGAGAGAGGACCAAGGACCAGTATTAAAGAAGATGATTTAGGACGCTAAAGAGATCGAACTAATAACGAGAAACGATATAAACAAAAACCTATCAGTCGGACACTTTTGTAAAGCATTTCTTACTACATCAAGAGGCTATTGTGCGCCTTTTTTTGATAAGATTTTGCTTATAAACCTAGTAGATAGTTTTGTGAAGTATTTATTAAGTGTGGGAATTTTCCAGAGATCCTGCTACATTTTGTCATTGCGTTCAACCCTTCGGTTTAATCTTAAGACGGCAAGAGAATACAATTTTGAGGCGAGTTGAGAAAAGCGTCAGGCTGCTACTATTCATGGATGACCTTAGCGTGTTTAGCTGAACCGAAAGAGGCGTTGACATTCTACGTTTTTGTTTTTTCAACATTTCAGATGGAGTTGTTAAATGAGAATTTTGCGAACTTGAATAAACTCCAGAGAGTGTGCTTATCGTATTTTTAGACACCCGTAGCAATAAAGGGGTTCAGTTTAAATGCATACATTACACCTTTCACTTTAAAAATAATAATAATAATAATAATAATAATAATAATAATAATAGCAATAATCACTTTATCTTCGGACAACTCGAACCTTGTTCTACGAAGGTTTTCATAAAAAATAAACACAAAAGTGACCCAGATCTAGTCTAAAGAATTTTCCGTGGCAAAGTCAGAATAACGGACTAGCGCTTTTAGCATATCATGATTCTAGACTTGTTATCAGTATTAAAATCACTTGGATAGTTTTAAAAAACTACACCCACCTTAGTTTGTAAAATAGTTCAGCTTAAAGTAATGGATCACTCATCTGTAAACGGTGTTCCTTTGATCATAACATTACTAATGATTTCTACTGCCGTATCAATCATCCTTTATACCAACCGAAAAGGTTGGACTGACGTAATACGATAGTACGGAAGAAACTCAAAATAGAGATCTAAAATATCGCGTTCACTCGAATAAGCGCCGCGCCTAAATTAGTCCCACTCGGCATCGCTTCCTATTTGCACATTTCACGGTACAATGTAATTTTCTCTCTTACTAAATGAACACTGCATTGCTGCTTGGAGGACGCGGTGCTTATTCGGGGGAAGACAACCTGTTAACTTTAAAAAATGGTGACTATTTATTAATGGTGGTCGTTTTTTACTAACTCGTACGTTGGCATTTGTAAGACGCCCTTACTAAATAATCAAATGGAAAATAATCTTGTGGCTTAATATTCGCAGTGACAACAATGTTATACAAGGACAAATAGAATACTTGTCTTTCTTAGATTCAAAGATTCAAAGAAGCTGTGAGCTGAAATCTTTTCCTTAGCATTGAACCCACACTCTCTTCAATAGTAATTTTAAAATATCCGAATCCTCCTCAGATTGTAGAAATCAATAACAGTCAAAAAAATGAAACTATCAGATATGTGGTAAAACCTGTGGCCAATAGGAAAGTCAATCTCGAAATTGAGAAGTCTGCGATCAGCTTTTCTATTTATGTAATATACTAATAGACACAAATACAGTTAAAGGATTATGGAGTTTCAGAAATTAAATACGTTTTTTAGCATTGATTTAAAGTAATGTTTAATAAACGAGCAGCAGTTTTTTATCAGGTTTAAAATCACGAGCCAAAGGAGTTATTGGGGCTCTATACTATGTAATTCTTGCCTCACTAAACAGCTTTAACACCCAAAAAGATATTTAGATCGGATCTCTCCCGTTTTTTAATCAAACGGGACCTGTAACTTTACACTCAAAACAACTCAATCACATTGAGAAATACCAACTTAATAATGAACAAAAACATAGCTACCAATAGTCTCTGTTTTTTCAATGAACTACATTACATTCGGTCCAAGCCTCGCGAAAAGGCTTACAATAATTTGCTATATTGTAAATATATATGATTTCTCTCTATATCCAGTAGGGTTTAACTTATATTACAGGTATTTGACAGGTTCCGATGGGTTTGGCTAAGACTTGAACGTAACTTGTCCTCAAGGTAAGGGACGATAAAAAATCAGGAAAGAACCTAATCTTGCTCATAATAAAGCTGTAGAATTCTCGTCGTTTAAAGATAGTTCCTCTATCAATATGACACGCCGACTTACTACGTGTTGAGTCCCCTTGATTAAATTATCTTTTGCCTCAATTCGGGACATTTCAAAAGAGACTGAGGCAAGCGTTTAAGACTAGGGGGATTTCAATATGTGAAAAGATTATAGTCTGTCATTGCCAGGCTAGAGAGCTCCCGCCGTGTATCGGCAGCTAGAGCTTCAATGGTTGTGGTCGTACTCGAAACAGTTAAAACCCAACGAAGGCTACTTGTAGTTTCAACGCGTCTTCACATGGAGTTGAGCCAAACACTCCAAAAATATGCGTTGAACAGATCTTATTCCACTAGTGATTAATTAGTTTAAAAAAATCTTTGCACACTTTAAAACTCAATTTGAGTGGACCCGTTAGAAATCTACAGCAATCACGGCACTTTAGACAAAATGTCTGCAACGCTACCAAGCAAAACACAATTCACTGGCGATATCTCTTAGCACATGGCCCAGGTTCAATATGGCAGTTGAAACCTTCTTGATCATAAAGGTCATGCGAAAAGATATCTCCGTCATTGTCCATACCATCAAACCAATCAAAATTATCCTTAACTGCACGGTTAAGATTGCCTTCCTCCAAAGAATTGGATTCAGGATTCGTTCGCTTTCTTGTTTCGCTTGTGTTTACAAATTTGACGTCTTTTAACGTTTCTGTTTTAAACTCCGAATTATTATTATTAGAATGAGGAGAACCTTGTTCAGCCACTGTTTCAAACAGCGATGTGGACTGGTCCCCTGTACAATCCTCCACAAAGGACTCAACAAATGAAAACAATGTTTGCTGCTTGGGATCCTTGGAAAAGAAAGAAAAAAGCCGTCTCAAACAGACGTTTATGACGTATTACAATTCCCTGATTAAATCACTTTCTATCTTGCTAGCAGAGGTTTCATTCCGGCATGGTTTTTAGCATTTACGAAGTCATTTGAGTCGCTTGCTTTTGCGTAGAAACAACAAGCGAACTACGCGAATAAGAACGACGCAAAACGTCTCCGCACAAGCTCAGAGCCATACCGGACACATTGACAAAACTGTTTTCGCTAAAAAGCATTAGAACGCGCACCTTGAAGAAAGTACAGTCGGCTTCCAACACATCCTCGGAAAGTCCCGCTTTACCCAAAACCTCCAGCTTATTTTGGATTAGTGGCCTGAAAAACAGCGGCAAAAGTTTTGGTGAAAAAAAAAATGTTTTCTCAAAGAAATGATAACCTTTCTTCTTAATCTATTTATCCTGCAACTTAAATCATAACCATAACCAGTTTCGCCAAGATATAGAAAGCATAAAGGGCAATTCGCAACTTTAGAAACGAGAAGGCAACTAAATCGCGTCCCGCAAGTGTTTCTGGGATTGTTACTGGGGACACGCCCCTCAGCTATTGGCTAATTTTTTCCTGTCCCTCGTGGTAACAATCCCGGAGGTCTTTGCGAAAGCAAACTCGATCCAGTTCCCTTTTCGTTTCTGAAAAAAAAATCCGCAAAAACATGTTCGGCATCTTACCACAGGTAGTCATCTGCAGTCTTTTTAGCCACAAGGTAATGAATGTTGACAGCGTTCTTCTGTCCTATTCTGTACACGCGGTCTTCGGCCTGTACAAGAGCCTAGCAAAACAACAGTTGCTAGTCAAGTGTCAAATAAAACACTTTAAGATTGTTATCTCATATCTGAACTTTATCTGACACCCAATTATAAGGTCAGTACCTGCCAATTAGAAGATACTTTTCAATGTTCTATGAGAAGATAATGCATTTTTGAGTTCTATAAAAACCGCCACTTGTACTCAGGGATGCACAAGCCGGACACGACTATAGCGTGGCAGGCGCAAAAAGGAGCGAAAAAAGGGAGCGAAAGTTAAAAGCCTTGAGGATCTGTTGTAGTGAATTTTTTGTCTCAGGTAATTTTTATTTTTCCCCTTGTTTTAACTTCATTAGCATACATTACCAAAGCCAGAAACAAAAATTACCCGACAAAAAAAATGAACTACAACATTGATCTTTTTAAGGATCGTGCCCGTGGGGAACTTTGGGCATCTATACTTTGTCTTGTGTAATGTTTTTAGGGTCAAATTTAGTTTAGTTCATCTTACTAATTTTTAGTACTTTTTTAAAAGTCTTGTTATTAGGTTTTTTTCTGATGATTGTAAATTAACATTGAAAATCCTAATTTGGGACATGTTAATAAACTCATTGTATTGTATTGTACCACTAGAAAGCGAAATCAACTGAACATTTTTATTAGAAAAATAACAGCTTCTTTTTGCCGTAGGCACTAACTTGTAAGAAAGAATTAGAATGGGACATTCATAACCAGTTACCCTTGTCCATACAGAAGGTCGATTTTGAACATATGCATAAAACCTAATTACAATGTAAACTTTATCAATCCTGTTAGCCAAGTTAAGGGTGATTTATGGGGTGGATGTTTAGTTTTCTGAGCCAAACGTTTTCATTACTTTTACTATCTTTAATGCGTCTAACTCTGATATTGGGTGTTCAATTGAAGACACTTAATTCTCGGCTCACACACGAAGGTCATTTGCAAGAATTTATTCAGGTCATGCCAATATTCTCAGGCTAAAATAAGCACACAAGAGAGAATGAGCTAGATCATTCTCTCTTGAAGCACAATGAAAGGAGTGATAAAAATAAGCACACTTTAAGTTTGCAGGATGTCCGGTTGTGTTGTGCCAATGGACCAAACTGGTTTCAATATCGAGTTCTTGTCGGGATACAACTTCCCCTCTCGAAGAGATTCCTACAAAGCGCACGAAATTCACGAACGCGGGCAATAACTTGATCAGTGAGAACCATTTAAGCAGGGCTAAATCAGCTAGTCAATACCCCGAATTATCATCATAGTCTGAGAAAACAGCCGACATTTTACGACGCCACTACTGGTTTCCCCGCAAAATGACGTCTGAGAAACAAGCGCATAAATTTCATACTGATGACGTGTCACTAATCAGATCTGGGTGATGTATCTGATTGGTTGAAGTAAATTTTCCACGCGGCATGACCAATCAGAAGCGTCATCAGTATGGAATTTCTGTAGTCGTTTCTCAGAAGCCATTTCGCGTTTTTCATCCGGTCGGTTTCTGAAATATCCGTATTTCCTCTAAATACCTTAATAATAGTCTTAGAGTTTACAATCACCGGCAGGACAAATCCCTTTAAACGGTTATTAACTACGAGGGCTTTGAAAAAAAAAACAAACAAAATACGTTACGGACGCCACACAGGGTGATAATATTACAGCCGTCTAGGGATAAATCAGACGATCGATTAAGTGCGCCTTAACTATAGCTAACAGCTAACTTCTGAACTCACCCCAGGATTCCAGAAGAGCTCTGCAAACACGACCGCGTTTGCCTCGGTAAGAGTCAGCCCTGAGGACATAGAATGTTCATAATTATATACATTATCTTATTGCATTGGTTACTGTACAAAAAATGCACCAAACGAGTACAAATATCCCACAACATTTTTTACAGTTGGTTATATGTATAAAAGCAAACCTGACTGTTTGACAGTGGTTTTTGGAAATTTTGAAGAAGTAAATGAAATGATTTTTTTCCCAATTTTAAGTTAGAATTTGAAAACTGGTTTGCTAGTTGTAAAGAAATTGCTGTATGCCGAAAGGAGCAAAATAAAGGAGATATTTCATTAAGATATTTCAGACGCTGACGGTCTGAGCATGCGCGGCATGTTGCTAGGATACAGCTGGCTCTAGAATGACCATCGGTTTATCAATAAAAGGATGCTCGCACTCGAAAAACCCAGTTTGAGGAGAGAAAAGAAGATTGACTGGTCCAGAGATTGGGGCTGCGGCGACCTCAAAGGTTTGACGTGAATCAGGTAGGGCCTCTTTTCACTCCTCACTCAAGAAGACAAAGGAGGCTCCACTCGCAGGGTGCCGCCAGTTTAGTTATAGTGAAAAAACAAGGGAAAAGTACTTTCATACCTGTATTAGCAGCAGTAATAGAGAGAACAGCTACCAGACAGGCCTTATCCTGTTGGAAGTGATCACACAGATTCTGTCGAACCCCTGCTGGTGTGCTGCCGTCAATGCGAATGTAACTGTACTTCTATGAAAGTGAAGGAAAATATATAACAAATATGAAGTCCCTTCTTCCTCAGTTTGCAAGATTGGTGTGAAAAGAAAGTCAACTAATCTTGAAAGGGTACACAACTTACTTTTTGTTCAAGGCAACTGCAAATGGCGTCTAACATGCTTTTGTGATGGGCAAACACAAGAAACTTGCGGCCGCTTTCAAGCAGGTCTAAAATGTACTCCCTGGTAAATAAGAGCAAATAAACTAATGTACATCAATGGCAAGCATTCTTTGTATACCACTTTATTTTTTGTACCAGCAAAGTACAGTAAGCGAAATTTGAAGGAAAGAAGCTGAAAATTCAACATGCGTTACAGACCTCCCGCTCTGCAGTCAAGCGCTCTACCGACCGAGCTAATGAACCGCGGCGGGATTACATGTAGCTCAGTCGGTAGAGCGCTTGACCGCAGAGCGGGAGGTCGTGGGTTCGATTCCCTGAGCCGGACCAATACTCAGGGTCTTAAAATAACTGAGAAATGAAATTATTATCTTTGCCCTGCAAACGGCTTGATCTTTGCGTGGCACGGATGACCGCGTAAAATGGCGGTCCGTGTTCAGTAGGAGACGTAAAAAAATAGAGTCCCCAATTAGTACAGTAATTCTAGTTCGTGCTAAATGCATTGACCCTTAAAAAGAGTGCCTTTTTTTAATTTAATTAGGTTATTTTCAGTAATGCTGGTACCATTACCATAAGAATTAGTATTGATTTTAAACAGCAGCGAGTGTCGAGGTTCGAAACGTAAAGGATGCCGTCGAAGTTCAGTCACCCCTTCTTTAGTATAACTTGAATACATAAAGATTTTCCAAAAGTCACTGCCTCGCAGTAGTAGCGCTGATCCATCAAAGTACAAGCGTTGATTTGCTGTCAACCACCTTAAACCGACAATGAAAATGAACATGAGCGCATGCTGACAGCCTTTTCTCACCTGACCGCTGGCATCTTGCAGGCAGACGTTTCAAAGAAGTAATTAAGAAGGGCACCATGTTGCTCTTTTTGCTGTGAGAAAGCAAAAAACCACTGAGAGAAACGAATTCTTCAACAATTAACTTACACGCAAATAACACTAACCGACAGAATAGAGCTTACTCAATCAGATATATACGATAATTGTCAAAACTTTCATTACTGGGCGAGAACGGGGGGTAATGATTTTCTCAAGGGTTTGTCAAGTCAATTCTTATTGATAAATATTAATTGCAGATTTATCAACACTATATTTTGTTCTGGCTTCCATTGTTTAATACCTGGTATACTTAGCTCTCTCTTGCTGTCTTTCTTTTTCTACTAGCTTTTTCCCCTTTTTTGTGTGTGTGTTTTGTGTAGCTGTGTGTGGTGTGTGGTACCTGACCCTTTAGTATGATCATTTATTAATAACCTAAGTAAGGTTGCCCTATCTTTTAAGCCCTCTGCTCAATGGTTATTATGGGCAGCCTGTACACTCTCCAAATCAGTTTTATCTATTTATTTTTGTATCATGTAAATCAATGTAGGGTACAAATAAAGTTGTTGTTGTTGTTGTTGTTGTTGTCGTCATGTGGGTCCTCACATAGAAATTCGTTGTCCTTTCAAAATAGTTTACTAAAAAGACGATTTATTTTACTTTGTCTTTTAGTTCCATTATAAGAAGATAAAATTATTAACAGTCATATTAAGAAATTACCTTAGCTTTCGACACTTCTTTTGCGGCTCTTTCCAAAGTTTTAGTTTTAATAAGCGAAGGGTCAAGCTGGACCTACAGAACAAAAATTGGAAATGCTTTAAACAAAACTTCATTCAGAAAAACACTGATAAAATGGTCTTGAATATGACATACCACTTGTCGTCGCTTGGAAGGAAGTTGAGATAGGACATCTTTTTTTAATCGCCTGTAGTGTAAATAAATTAGACGTAAGTGTAAGGTTAGGCTATGAGGATGAAAATCGTAACTAGGCTGGTTGACGAATATTTGAATTTATTAGCTAACGTAGTTCTGGAGCATTAGTCCTCTCCAGTCCTCTCCCACCATACTGACCACAGCATACAAAGAAAGATTTTTCACCTTATCATTACTTTTTCCTCAAGTAAAAGTTGAAGTTCTCGCATGTTAGATGCCCCTGAAAAGTCCCAACCAAAACGATTCTGAAACAAAAAAAGACAAAGGCAAAGACCATCATCGTGAAATGGCTTTACAGTCTTCTGTCATTAGCTTTATACTTTCCAAACATTGCTAAGTCAAATATAATGAGTATTTGAGCATGTCACAAGCGTGGGCAAAGAAAAAACCCTGATTCCTTGACAGGATCCGAAGCTATGATCACCTGAATACCGAGCGGGCGTCCTCCAGGTACCACTGAGTCCACAGAGCCAAGGAGAGATCACGCTCGTGACATGCTGATTATCACCGTTCATATTCATTTACTGACTGAGCTTAAAATTCACCATCTTTTTTGTTTCAATGAGTAAGTCGTTTTTCTTCTTTGCTGCTTTCTTATAATAGATCGTTGTTCTTTGTTCATGTGGTCAATCGCAGCAGGATTAGCTCAGCCGATACAGCGCTTGACTGCAGAGCGGAAGGTCGGATAGTCAGGTTCTTAAAATAACTGAGAAATGAAGGCACTGAAAGCTACACCTTCACGTGACTCGGATGACCACGTCAAATGGCACTCCCGTCTCTGTTGGTACTTTCGTGCCAACTACGTTGACACTCAAATAAAGTTTTTCTTTTGGTTTACAAAACAATAACTGCTAAATCACCCGCTCCAGTCCATGAGCTCGGAAAGATGACAACGAATGCTGTTCGCATAGCGTTTTCCAAAAAACGGAAAAACTTCTTGCTACCTGTTGTCCAGCACAGTATCGGAGTCCAAAGAGATGAAAGGTGGGGAACAACCCTGGCTGAATGGCACAGATCTGCGTGTAAAGCTCCAAGGGCCTGGAGAGAGCTGGGGTCCCGGATAACAAAATCACACGGGTGGCCGCCTGAAAACAATACGGATTATACTTCATCTGAAAAGAATGTACTAAGTAAAGAGAGAAAAATACTTCCGATCGAGAAAACTAGCCAAACTTAATAGTTTAAGAAAAAGCATTAACTAATAATATCGAAAGTGAGACTCAAAAACGTATCAGCTGTTTTCGTACAGTCCTTGTTACCTTCGACTTTGCCTTTTGTGGAAGCCTTTACCAGAAAAGCTTTGTATTTACCTACTCTTTGTAGTGTCAATTAAAACTAAAGAAGAAGCAGAGAAGACAGAACTGGGACCAAGCTCAAAGAGATACAGTAAACTTTACTGTATCTCACATTGCCGTTCACATTCTTCTTAGCTTTATCTCGCAATTGAACTGGGGCGGTAAATATAAAATTTACAGAAAAGCGTGATGCCCGATTGCTCCCTAAACCTATTGCTAATTTGTCGACAACTACGGCAGCAACGGAAGCGCGCGGAAACAAAGCTAAACAAGCAAATATTCGCGCCGTTTTCAACTTCATCACGATATTAAATTTTTCAGTTTTTTTAGAAGCTGAATTCTTAGGGACCGAGTTCAAGTTTATAAAGAGAAAGAAAAATGCGCAGTTTGTGTTGTTGCGTCCTCCAAAACATCGCATTAGGAAGTTTCACGTCAATGCTGTCCGTCCGTGACGGCAAAGAAATGTGCCAAAATCAACGATCCACGTTCATTGTTAAACCAGAAACCCATAAGGGGTTGAAACGTGTAACTCGCGTTCAATGCTCGTGAATATTCGTTTTGACCATATTTGGAAATCTTAGTGACGGATATCCATTTTCAACAAAATGGCTGCTGCGCGATCACCATGCAGATGTTTTAAGACAAGAGTTCTGCATTTCAAGATTAAAAATACACCGTTAAAAGACAAAAAATGGAAAGAGAAAGTTCAAAAGAATGCTCAGCTTTCTTTTTGTGGAGAAAGGGAAGCTTTTCATCAAGAAATCGTCCTTCGAGGAATTCAACCTTGTTTTCTTCACGGCGGAGCCCATTGTCTGTTTTGAAATGCAACCAAGTCAGCGAAGTTTTTGCTGAATTTTCAGGTACATTTTGCACTCTATGGCCAAGAAAATTACGTTTTTGAAAGGGAATTTATGTATTTTAAAATGTTTCATAGACGTTTTATAAATTTTTCTCTTCGACGCTAAAGAAAAACTACAAATTTGCCCTGATTTGAGATGGATTTTGTGTTGAATTTTGCCATGTGCTTAGCCGATGTCACTTGCGTGAACGGATCTACGATCCAGATAGTGTTTTCCGAATTGCTTTAAAGGATTAACTTTTTGGACTTTGAATAAAAATTTTCAAGAAACGGCTTCTCTGTCTATTGTTTTGAGTTTGTTCATTCATAAAATTGGCTCAAAACACGATCATGACTACAACAAGTTTAATTTAAGCGCTTAAAATGCTTCTCACATTCATTACAAGCATCACTTTTTGCGAAGATGTCAGGTTCAGGTTTTGGACACTTTCGATACGCAACTAATGAATTTTATTCGAAAATATTTTTCACTGTTTATTCGAGACTTTTAAATTTGCAGTATAAGTTTACTGTGCAGAGGGTCAACGAGGCATCGTTTTTTGAAGTGACAACTTCAAGAAGTTGCGAGGCCGTCAATGGGTTTCATAATGTTACGTTTGGCCCGGGTGGTAAGGCAATAATATCCTGCTCAGTGTTTCGGTAATATTCCTGGTTTCAACCTTTGAAAGCTTTCTCGGCTTTGAAAGCTTTCCCCCGTTTGTCGGCCATTTTTTTTAAGCGGGCGCGGGAACCTGAAGGAAAATTATGTCACGTTGTTTACGAAGTTTGATTGGTCAGTTATCTCTTCTTCTCGTTCCAAATATGGTACTTTCGAAAATGAATAATCACGAGCATCGGACAAAGCAAACATATGAGAGTTACACGTTTCAACCCCTTATGAGTTTCTGGTTAAACCTATTGCTTCTCTGACGTTCGTGGTGCCATGGGTGGTACACTGCTTGCAATCGTTCCTTTTTTAAAATGCCTCGCTCTACTGAATAAACGCATGAAAAAACAACACAAAACAAAAAACGAGAAGGAATGCTACGAGGGAGTGGCCTTTCAATCCATCGCGTTAAACCGCCTTGCTTTGCAGACGGCTTACATGGTGGGATAAGTAAACTGTAATGCCGCACCAATATCATAAATGGTCCAAATATCAAGTGGTGCGACTTGTACGAGTCGTGCAACTGGTGAAATTTTGTCCTTTAGGATGCTTTTAGAAAGAGGAATATTCATGGTGTATTCGTTCTTGTTCGCACGCTTACTGGAACTTTTTGTATGATCGTAATATTTGAGCCATCTTGCAGTTTCATGCACCGAATGTTTGTCGTGTATGATGCTTATAGAAAGAGGAATATTCATGGTGTATAAAATTATGCGTTCCTGTCCACGCGCTATTTCACCAGTTGCATGACTCGTACCACTCGAAAGCTCCCTTTTCGACAACTCTGTTCTAAATTTTTAAGTGTCACTAGTGAAATGCTATTTCGTCAGTTGGACGACTCGTACGAGTAAAGGCCCTTTCTCGACAACTTTGCTCACAAATTCTAAGTGTCTCCAATGAGATGCTATTTCACCAGTTGCTCGACTCATACAAGACATACAAGTCGCATCACTCGAAAGCTTCCTTTTTGATAACTCTGCTCTCGGTTTCTAAGTGTCGCTAATGAGATGCTATTTCGCCAGTTACACGACTCGTACGAGTCGCACCATTCGAAAGGCCCCATCTCGACAACTTTGCTCACAAATTCTAAGTGTCTCTAATGAGATGCTATTTCACCCGTTGTACAACTCGTACGAGTCGCACCACTTGACAGGACCCCCTCTCTACACTTGGCTAATAAGATGCAGCCAAGCAATGTACTTCACTTTGTTTCACTCAAACAATCCAGTGGTGAGTATTGGACATGTGTGTCACATCAAACTGTTGGTTGCAGCCAGCATTGTTATCCTCTAATCGCAGTTAATATTGTCAAAAATGTTCAACCCATTCGCTCTAAACCGCCTGTGTGAACCACTTGTGATGTCATCAGTTTTAACAGTCAAGTCCTTGTCAGCTAACTTGTGCAGGGTAAAGAGATCTTTCAAACCATACCAGAATGAGCAAGATTCAGTCAAGGAGGCCGGAGAGGCCTCTCGTACAAACACGGCGAATTGTGATAGCAAATATATGCAAAACGATCACATACCTTAAGTAAAGGCAGGGCAGCTTTGGTTCTCAAGGCTTTGTAGCTCTTGATGAAATGACACTCATCCTATCAGAGGACATAAATAAAGTTACAACACTTAGCAGTACTAAACCAAGCAACACATCGAATTAAAGAATTCAATACAGAAAATACAAAAAAATTCAATATAGAAATAAAGCATAATATAACCCACATTTTCACTGAGGTTAAACAAGACAAATTTGAAAAAGGTAAGTTTGCATATATACTGCTATAATACCGTAAATCCTCTATTATTTCAAATACATTTGAGAGGAGGCTTATAGAGATGGAGGGCTTATTTAATTTGGCCCAGACGATGGTATCAGTTCTCCATAAAGAACTAGAATGCAAAGTCGAAAAGCTCAAGCACAGGAAGTTGGAGGTCATACAGCTGAGGATCAAAAACAAATCCGAACTTCCAGTTGGTAAATAAACCATCCCCGATCAGTCCACACAAACTTTTACAGTTGTGGTTCATTAATACAGTCTATCATTTATTAGTGAAGAATAATAAGGGGGAGGGGAGGGGGGCTTAAAAGAGACTGGGGGCTCCTTAACTACGGAGATGGGGGGCTTATTTGAGAGGGGGTGCTTAATAGGTGATTTATGGTAATTATAACTTACAGCTATAATGACTCTGAACTGCTTCTTTTTCAAATCCTCCATACATTTACTTAATAGATCATAACTGATGATGTTTATAAGTCCTGATGTTGGATTATCCTTTCCAGTGAAAACCACGTTGATGTGTGTTGGATCCACAGAGGGGAGCCATTTCATAAAAGCCTACAAAAAGAATATTTTTTAACTTTGTAGATGGAACTTCTAACTTTTAATTGCTTTGTTCAAAAGCGTAGGGTTTTAAGCAGGGTTTAATGAGTGACAGCTCATTCCTCTTCATAGCTTATTACTTCATGCCCATTGGCTGAGGTCATAGCGCTTGTGTCTTTCATACTATTGGTTTTAAATGCAACTATAACAAAAATTGGCTAAAAGATAGACATTTTGAGCTCGTATAGATTTTATTTAAAATTAACAGTTGCTTGAAATTTACTGTTCTTTTCTCTTCCCCAACCAAGAAATGAACTGTCACACTGTCTCAATAGTTCGTCATAATGTTCCAGCTCAAATTGAGTCTGATCATCACTCAGTTGTTTTACAGTAGGCTTTCTCTTGAATGGGTAAAGCCCATTTCATAAATCAAACAGTCCAGTTTTCCATTAGATCAATCTTTTCAAGATGGAGAAATTGTTGGTGAACAGAATAGAAGACTCTACTAGTAGGGAGGAGAGGTCAAGAGTAGTGATTCCACGGCATTCTTTCATGTTCCTACAGTAGTGGAGTTTCCATGTTCTTCAATCCATTGATGGAGATGAAAAATAGTGAAGTTGACATCATGTGTCATAGAGATCAGTTTGGACGTGTGAAGAATGGCTTGATGGCTAAGTAACTAGTTGTTAAAGGGCTAAAAAGCTAACCTAGGCAAGAAGTAATAAAATAGCAAGGATACTGCTCACCTACCCCTCCCCTAAGGCAACATTTGTCTTAAGTGAGAAGTAAGTGTTAATGTTGGCCTAGGGGAGGGGTAGTTGGGCAGTTTCCCAGAAACGTATAATGATCTGTAAAGCACATGTAGGTAATTTAATGACAAACGCTATTGCAAGTAAGAAAACCTACATTTTACTCTTAACTAGTCATGTTACCACAGTGATGTAAATTTTAACAAACCAATAGTCACATTAATTTTTAATTTGAGCCCCAAAAAATAAGTTACCAACCTGCTGCCATGTTATTCTGAGAGAGGATGGTGTAATAACGAGGAGTGGCCACTCTGGACGATAGTAACATGCAACACAGATAGCTTGAATGGTCTTTCCCAGGCCCATGTCATCAGCTATCAACACTCGGCCATCATGACGAATGCTGAAACTGTTAAACAGTGGAACAAGCAACAAGTTGTATTTTATTTGCATAGGCTCAAAGTTTGTACTAAAAGACTTATGGCATATGTGTATTAAAATAATTTTATACTGCTAGAAACATAGAAACGAAATCGTTTCCAAGGCGTCTAAGCGACTGCACATTCTCAGGGTCTTGAAGCGCGCTGGGGTCCCTCCAGTGGACCTTGTCACCATCTATAGCCCCTTGGTTCGCTCTGTTCTAGAATACTCTTCTGTTGTCTGGGCTACTTGCCTTCCTCGCTTCCTCATTGACCAGCTTGAAGCTATCCAGAAGAGGGCCCTGCGAATCGTATACCCTGACCTCCACTACCAACAGGCTCTTGCACAAGCCAACATTACCAGTTTAGAGGATAGACGCGCCCACCTGTGTCTTAAAGTGTGGCACAATATCAAAAATAACCCGGATGGCCAGCTGCACCACCTTCTTCCTCCCGTGCGATCCGAATGCCACTCTTACCATCTTAGGAACAGTAATCTTACGAGTCTAGTTATCTCTAGTATTGTCCTTTATCTATAACTGAATTGTAAATAACTATAAATAAATAGCCTGTAATCCCAGTCCCTCTGAAACAAATGTAATTTTATTTTTAGTTATAACTTATGTAAGCAAACTTAAGTAAGTTTTTATGCCACCATGTGTATTTTAATAAACCATCATTAAATAAACCATCATTATATTATATAGCCTGCGACCGCAGACATACATGTATTTCCGGTCATTGTTAACACGCATACTAAACCAATCCACAAACAAATAAAAAGTATTGACGACGATAAAGTAAGATAGAACCTGTAGCAAGTAAAACCTGTTTTGTGTAGAATTAATAATATTGCGTCCTCATTTCTTGATCTAATCCCCAAGCAAGGAAGACTGAATGCTGCTGCAAGAGCGTTCATGCTAATCTTGTAAAGTTACCCCACAGGTTCCCCAAACACTACTACAGTACTCAGTCATAGTAAGGTTGAATTAAAACTTAGATATACCAGATGCAGTCTTGCCTGGGGAACCAGTTGTCTAACATGTTTCATGGCCCCGGTTCCAGAAGTGATCTTTTTGGTCAGTTTTTTGATGTTGTAATTCTAAAACATAAGCAGCACTCACCTGACTCCTTCTTGCTGAAATGGCATCAGTGCCTGAACAAGCTTGTGATCAACTGAGTTCAGATTAATGGTAGTGGTTGACAATTCTTGCAAAGTGCCTGGTGTGGTTTTCAGAAATGTCGATGTCACAGCCTTAGGTAGTCCCTCTACAATGACATGGGCAGGTAATGATTGTACTGCTTTCACTGTAAGAGAGTTACACGTACAACAAGTTGAACTGAATAATAATCTATGTAAAATAATATAGGGACCAACCAGAGCTGTCATTAAGGGCCAGGGACAGGGATTTTCCCCCGCTACTATGAGCTTGACCCTCCCCTATTTTCATAGGGAACAAAAATGAAAGAAGAATCAAAAGAACTTCCTAGTTGTTCAATTTCCTGTCTACTTATTGCATATATTCGGGAACTCAAAATTTTAGTGACAGCCTCGCTGTACATGTAGATGCAAGAATGTCTTTAACTTTCAAATGGATGAACATAAAATCATTATATCCTTGATTAATGAAGTGATATGGCTGATGAGTAAGAGGTCCAGGAAAATTCATTAAAAAGATAAATATTGAATAAATAGTAAATAAATAATTCAATAAAAGACAAATTTATTTTACAAGGGTGAACTACATGTACTGTACACTGACTAAAGGTTCCATTCTTCTTTTTCATTATGACCTCTAAACAATAACTTGGTTTTATTGACTATTATATTGAATATTTATTAACTATTACCTAAAATAACATTGCAATAAAACTTACTGAGCTTGTTATAGTCAGTCAAAGCAAAGTTCCACTGGTATGTTTTTGCATCTATAAGAACAAAAAAGAAAATGTGCTGCAGAAACACCTATTAACTACCTACAATTAACCTAGTCTGGACAAGGGGGGTGGGGGGGGGGAAGGGGGGAGAATGTTATTCAGGGGGATTAAAATTTATTCTTATTACATGAAGCCAGAAATAGTCGTACAGGCTTACAAACCCCCCTGTTTTCACTGAAGTGAGCAGCACTCTGCAAACTGTAGTGTTAAAACTTGTCTACTGGTACTATCATACACCTTTTGTCTGGCTAATGTAGGCTTCTTTAGGGAATTTCACATTCCAGCACAAAACATCTATAAGTAAGCCATAGCTGATGACTATTAATAATTATGGTTGCAAACACTGAAGATCTGGCCAGATCTATGAAAGGGAGCAGGCGCAGGTGAGAAATTTTCTCATTTGAATACATTTTTCTGATATGAATAGTGCCCAAAGGGAAGGGCCCTTATTTTAAAGAAAGGGCACTAATTATTAATGCATGGGCTCTTATATGGGGATGTACAGTAAACCAATCAAATGAATCTTACCATAACTTCTGCTTGGAATTGTCTTTAAAATCCCAGTAACCTGAGGCTGGTATGGCACAACAACAGTGAACCTCTCTCTGCTCATTAATACACAGTTTCCTTTCACTTCTTTCTCTGTTTTTTTGACGTTCACACCGGAAACAACACCGGATTTTAGGGATCCTGAATTGCTATTTGCAAATCCTGAAGAGCTTGCTGTTGATGGTTTGGTACCAGGGTTGGTACTTTCGAATTTCCTTTTTGATGAGGATGAGTCTGGAATGTTTTGAGGACGATAAAATTGGGACACGGTGCTTTGAAAAGAGCGCCAAGATCTTTCATTTTCTGAGGGCTTAACCATTGACCTCGATGCGCCCACTAAACTATTTTGCGATTCTCCACTAAAGCCAGTTGAAGAACGTATTGTATTACCGTTAATTGAAAGCTTCGCATTAGAAGCTTGACCGACCGATGGTGTCACATTCAAACTGTGTTTGACTCCTTCAGATTTCGACGACATCTGTCTCTGTGGCACGTACGAGTTAGGTTTGTTTGAAGAAAGCAATGCATTTTCATTTCTTGGAGGTTGAGCAGCATTACTGGAGACAAAGTTGCCTCCGTTGATATTAAGCTTAAATCTTGCCGACGCAGTATTCGTCGACGAAGCCGTCTGCTCTTGTTGGCGTAAACGAGCAGCTCGTTTCTCAAGAGCTTTTCGACGATTTTCTTCGATCCTCCTTCGCTGCTCGTCTGTTAATTGTCCAGACGACATTGATATAATCCGAAGCAATCGAAGCAGTTTAACACAATAAAATGAATAGCAAACTTACTCCTCTCTGTTTATCTCGTTTCTTCGAAATCGCCGCCATGATGAATTATACCGCTGACCACCCAAATCGGTGTTTTATACCCAGCAAGCACTGGGGGATTGGACAAGAAAATTACACCACGTTGGGAAATCATTTCTGGAGTTGTTTGTAAGCGGTTTACTGCGTTCTAAAACCTTCATAAATCATAATCTTGGATTCAGGCTAAGGGAAAGTATTGTAGAGATAGGATTCTGCCTTTTGGAGTCCAAACATCTCTAAAATGCCCATGTTTACTTGCATAACATGTCGTGTATCTTTCGCTGATAGCGATATTCAACGTCGTCACTATAAAACTGACTGGCATCGTTATAACCTCAAGAGAAAAGTTGCAGAAATGCCGCCAGTTACTGCTGAAGTATTTCAGCAAAAGGTCCTTGCGCAGAAAGCGGAGGTCGAAGCGCAACAACAGAGCAAAACAAAGTCTCTGCACTGTCAATTGTGCAACAAGACCTTCTCTTCTGAGAATGCTCACAGTAACCACCTGAGCTCGAAAAAACACAAAGATCTGGAGGCCAACAAAGCTAAGAAACAGGGAAGTTTGATCACAGAGAGCCAGCTTAGTAACAACTTCAAAAGAAAGGACAGTAAAGAAACTGACCAACAGAACACTGAATCTGAAAATGCCGAGTCATTATCCCACAATGGTGATGATGATGACGACGACGACGATGACATTGAAGAAGATACCCTGGAAGTTACAGACTGTCTTTTCTGTCCACATCACAGTGTTAGCTTAGAAGAGAATCTGAAGCATATGACGAGATCACATAGCTTCTTCATTCCAGATCTAGAATATGTTGTGGACTTAAAAGGCCTTGTAACATATCTATGTGAAAAGGTTGGAATGGGAAATATGTGCCTTTACTGCAACGACAAAGGGAAGAGTTTTTTCTCATTGGAAGCTGTTCAAAGCCACATGGTTGACAAAGGTCACACTAAAATGAACTATGAAGGAGATGCAGTTTTGGAATATGCTGATTTCTATGATTTTAGCAGTAGCTATCCTGATTATAATCCTGATGAAGAGAATGAGGGCGATGAAATTCAAGGAAGAGATGGCACCTTAGCAGTCAATGAGCAAACACTGGAGCTGTGTCTGCCATCAGGGGCCAAAATTGGCCATCGCAATATGCGTCACATCTACAAGCAGAATTTGCCTCCAGAGAGAAGTCATCATTCCAAGGTGATTCAAAGTATCATGGCTGATTATAAAGCCCTAGGTTGGCATGGCACCATTGCAAGTGCTGCACGACAGAAAGTTAAAGATGTCAGGTTACGGAATGTTCAGCAAGCGAAAAGAAATGTGGACATCTCAGTTAAGGCTAACAGAATGCAGAAACATTTTAGACCTCAAGTTGTTTTCTAAATAATTAACAACTTGATTTCATATTCTGAGGTCCAAAATATGGTAATGCTATAAAATCAGAAGCTGCACAGTGCACAAGTTTTCCACCAAGTTTCTATTGCTTTTTGTATCTATTTTAACAAATGAGTGCACTAGTTTGATTTATTAGGCTTTATTAGCAACAGAACGGGAACATCAGTTGACAACGGCGCGCGCCAATCAAACAACTGGCTTGACCAATGGCTGAGCGGTAAACTGGGCACTGGAAGTAGAGTGAAGTCCTTTTTGCGCACTTTGCCGTCATCAAATGAAGTTCCCGTTCTGTTGCTAAATCAGCCTATTAGTACTGGGTGTTAGTAGATTGAATATAAGTGGTCCAAGATAACAGAGTGGAAGTGACCAGACCTAGATCTTAGAGCAACCCCTTTCTCAAGGCATATCTGAAATAAATCATAATTCAAACTGAAAGATGGTTTCTTTTTGTTAATCCTTACAAACACTGTACTTCCTAACATTATGCAGCGTTAGCTCATTCAATGTTCTTGACCCCCAGGATTGGACCAACACCCATGGAATAACTAAGAAATGATGATATTCCCTCTGCCCTGAAAATGGCTACATTTTCACTAGCCTGTGAAGGGGCCTTTGGTTGCTGTTTTTCTCCAAACAGAAGAGCCTGTTCACAGGCTACATTTTAACTTGACTTGGATGACCACAGGCAAATTTAATTTTTAAAAAGTCCAGTAGGTTCAATGACATCATTTGACTACAATTACAAGTATTTATTTAGTTTTCGCCATTTTATTTGAACTTTTCAGGGGTTGAGGTTAAAAAAAAAAAACAATAGCCCTAATTTCCACAAGAAATGACAGATCGAAGGAATCTTGTAGTTATAGTAAAATGACTTCGTTGGGCAATAGTTGAAGAGATTACAATAATAATTATTGTCCTGTTGAGCTTAACACTCATCTCAAGTCATTGATAATTTATGAAGAGGAAACAAAAAAGATCACTGCCATAGAGGAGATAAGGAAATTGCCTCGCTGTTACCCAAAAAATTTTGCCTTCTCATTAAGTTCAAGCTGGGGCTCATCCTCTGTGTAAGAACCTGTTAAACTCACGGGTGACATAAAACAAAAGAAAACAAAGAGGTCAACACAACAGAACCTAGGAAAAGAAAAGGTGCAAAACAAAGAAAAAGTTCACAGGTTCTTACACCGGGGTAAACCCCGAATTGATACACTGGTGGCTGGGCAAAAATGAAATAGTGAGTGACCTACCTTTATGGCCACCAACATCAATCAACTTCGGGTTACAGATCAGTGAGTTTAAAAAAATGGCATCTGAAGTTGAAGAGTTGAGTTGGTTTGGGTAACTTGTTGGTTGATTGACTGAGTTTTATTTCTTGAGCATCTTGAAAAGTGATTTCAAATGCTTAACAAAGTGTTTCATCTGATGTCCAGACACTAGAAGAAATCATGGGTGCCTTTTTTTTTCAACCCACTTCTCAGTGTCTAGATATTGGATGAAAAAACTCACGCCCAATTGGACATATGTTACATGGGTATCTTAATTTTGAATATATTGCATCCAACACAAACCATTGGGTTGTTATAAGTATCCATTGTCAGTTAATGTAGCAAGCTTTCATCCACCTTGTTCCCAGGGTTCTGTCCTACCTGCCCTACCGAGTGCTCAGTAGGGCGGGTCAGAGAGAACCCAGGGAACGAGGTTGAGCTTTCATTTAAATATAATTCGACTAAAATGTGAATGTAAGTCAAGCCAATTTTTTTCCTTTTAATAAGCATGGCATTTTTATTTTGCATAAACAGGTATATGTATTGTACGGACGCCAGTTTTTGTTAAGCCATGATAACCATAGTTATTAGAGGAGACTGGTTATGAAAAAAGGCAAACATCAATGATAAAAACAACAGTGCTGCAGTTTATGTTGGAAGCACTCTGAAAGTGCACAATCCTTTGTTTTCTGTTGGCAAATTGTTACGGAATAAATTGATGCAACGTTTTTATTGGTCAATACAATCAAAATGATAGGAATTCTTTTGAATGTTGTGCACTTTCAGGTCCACAAAAACATATAACAAAGGAGTCTGACTGGTTTCATAACCATTCCACTCAATTAACTATGATGATAACATATCATTTAGCCATTTCAATTTTTGTCAAGGCTATTTCATGTAAAGGCATTAAAATGTCCTCCATCCCTGGTGCTTCATGGCAGTCCTGTTTTCACCTTCATCTAGCCTCTCCCCTTTTTGGCTCGCTTTATTTCTTACCCAGACTCCACCATCTGAATGCCTGGAAAAGGCTAACATTGTATTCCTTGGGGTTATGTGAGGAGACTATGTAGGTAAAATGAGGCCTACAGTCATCTCAGACAAGGACAAAAAACTTGTCGTGAAGAGAACTTTTCAACTGACCCCAAGAAGGCCTAGAGACTAATTAAAAACAGACATCTTTCATTCATTGACAGCTGGCCTTCACCAAGGCAATCTGGTCATGTAGAACCAAACAGCTTGCATGTGGTACTTGGGTAATGTTCAATATTATCATAAACTCGCACAACGTCTACATGATCTTCAAGAGTATCTATTAGTTTCTCTGCTTGTTGTAAAGGTTCCTCTGACAGAGAAACAAGTGTTCGTGGAATATACTCAAGTTCAGAAGAAAGAATCTTCTTTGGAAACTTTTCTGATAAGTCGTCATGTACTTTCTTCGTATCCTCAATAGCACATATGAACTGAAATGTAATAAATAAAAAAAAACAAAGACAAATTTAGCATTTCATTCAAGAATGCTTCTGTTGCAGTCTTACATTAATTTTTGCTTTCTACTTAAGGTTTAAATCGTTTCAGAAGTTTTGTAAGCCCAACTTTTCGCAGAAGACTACAATAGACAGAACAATAGCATTCAAGAATCGACAGGGAGTGCTGTAAGGGGGTATGTCGGTATAATGAGCAATCCTTTTAACCCTAGGGTCCAGGAACTCTAGGCAATTAGGTGGATACTGTTCAGTGTTGTTTATACTTGGGCAAAATCTTTTTCTCTGTGGCATCTTTTTCAGCCACATTTCTGGTCTGTGTGTGTATAGTCTTTGAAGTAAATACAATATCAAAATAGTGATTAATAACCTATGATTAGCATATCATTATTAACTTAAACTATCAATGAAATGAAATAGAACATCATTTGAGACTATTATAAACTCCACTCCAACCTGCTAAATTAAACATAGGGCCAAGTTTTTGCATATAAATTATTTCAAAATTATACCTTTATAATCTTTGTATCATTTTCTGACTCACAGAAGAACAGATTCTCTGCCCCACTTTCTATAGCTACCTCTTCAGCCTGCAGAGAAAAGACCATTAATTATTTTACCAGTAACTAAAACTGCATAAAGGTTTCATCTCTTGTAAAAAAACACTTACACTGAATATTAATCGAGACTATAACATCTACCTACTTCAATTAAAGTTAATATGGTTGTCGTGGAAACATCACAGCCTTAACTTTTAAAAATAAATGTCGGTAATAATAGACCATTTTCACTATGATATCATTAGGGCACTTAAGCAACAAAAATGGACCCGCTGGAGTTGAATTCTTAAGATTTTATCCTGGTTCAAAAAGAGGAAGGAAAATTCATTATCGTATGTTCATTTCCTCCATAAAATGTTGCATTAGGAGGTTTCACATCATAGTCATGGAGTGGACATCTAAGAAATGTACTAAAAAACGTGCTGCATGTGCAGAGCTGTTTTGCTCATACAACAAATAATTTATAAGAGTTTTTGACACAGTTGTTGTCTTCCTCGTTATGGTTGATTAAGCTCCCCATTAAAATGCTACTAGAATGCTTGTCTGGGTAATCAAATAAAGAAACTTGATCCTTATTATGGTTCAATAACTCACTTTTTCAACAGAGTCATCATCTGGATACTCTGACAAGTTGTGTTTATCCTCTGTATAAAGAAAGTCTTCAACACTTATAACTCCTGTTCAAATTTAAAAAGAAAATGAATCACTACAAGCAGTAACTTGAAACCTTAATTTTTCTAAAAAATAAATTGTTTGTTTGCTTGTGATGTCAACAAACTTTAAAAAAAAGATATCAGTCCTCCTAATTGTCATCAGTAACAAATTTTATAATCCTAAAACTTAGTGCCAAATGTTAGAATTTTTATCTATGGAGCTCATAAAATAAAGCGAAAATTAAAAATATATCACTTCCCTGTTGACATAAATATGTTGTGGTTAAATTTCATCCTTCGGTAAATTTTATTTTCTTTGTTTTTGGGTATGGTACTGTATGTTAACGGCTTTGAAACAAAAGAAAATAAAATTTAAACCAAGAATGAAATTAAACCAAGACATATTATACACGCCCATGAAATATTTAAAACATTTAAATTATTTATTACATCCACTTTGAAATCACTGGCTATCCAGGCAATCTGATTGGCTCTCAGCAGTGTGATTTATTCCTAAATCGCACCATTTTTTGTTCTAAATCACATCTGTTCCAAATCGGGTCATTCATGTTCTAAATCGCATCATTTCTGTTTTAGATCGCACCATTTTTGTTCTATATCGCATCATTTCTGTTTCGAATACAAAATGAGATGTAAAAGCCTTTAGTTAGTACTGACTAAATCCTGCGATTTCAAAATGGATGTAATAAAGTGGTAATTGAACTTCGTGTCGTGCAATTTTGGTCTGAAATCATACTTGTGATTTCAAATCGAACTCGCACTGCGCGCTCGTTCGACTTTGAAATCACGCGTATGATTTCAGACCAAATTGCACTCCACTCAGTTCAATTACCATTATAAATTATCATTACCTTTGTAATCATACTGAAAAGTGACTGATCCACCATCCTTGAAAATGCCCCTAAAACAGATATAAAATAATGTAATAAGAAGATGTAATCCCAGGAGTCTGGTTTATCTGACCTGTGCTATCCTAGCAGGATAGGCCTGAGTGGGTAGTGTGAGTTTGTTAAAGCCTGATGTGACAGCAGAGCGGTGCACTTTCACATTCTGACATCTGTTCTCACCCCTTTAGTTTGTCTCTAGTCTCCGGTCTCCAGTTTTCAATTTGTCCTCCATAAATTACCGGTTTTTTTCTTGTTACTTCCAAAACTGAGGTGTATCATGATTGTCTAACTTGAATGTTTTTTAATCTTACTGATCAATACCCCCATATATTAACCCTTACAAAGTACCAAGCATGACCAACATCAATTTTTCTCCTACAGTATCAATACAAAAACAAGAGAGGAAGGTTATTAGAATAAAAAAAAATGATCACCTAAAGGGAAATGCTTTGTTCTTTAACGGAATTTCCCTAACTAATTCTGTATAGACATCAATCAGCAGCAGAATTTAGATGGGGATACTAAGGCTGAAAGGGTTAATATAGTCCACTGATTTTTGTTAAGAGCAAATTGTTTGAGGGTTTTGACCTATTAGTAATTTTCATATTATTATCATCTGCTCACACAGGGAAAGTCTGCACTCCTTATGTTGGATTCATGAGATGGTCAGCGGGTCTCAGCCACCCTAAAGAACCCATCTGACCAGAAACATTGAAACTGAATTTGGTAGCCCAAAGGGTCACATCTATACTAGAAAATAATGAGTAAATGCATGCCAGAAAGGGTAGAAATGATTTTGTATAGGCCTTGAACAAGTTTAGACCTTTTCAATAAAAAATTCCTGGCTCCACTCCTGACAACCCCTGGTTGTGTAGAAGTTCTAGAGACACTTACCCATTTTTGCGAAGAATAGTATTCATTTCATTCTTTGTTTTAACTTTGTTGCTTGTAAGTATCTGGACAAGCAAACCACAGCCACCAGGACCCTTTATCTCCAACAAAGATGCTTCATAAGGATTATCTTTAGTCTTAGTAAAGAGGACATGACATCATTTATTTATTTACATGCATTAGGTATTGGGAGTGAAGAAAGGAACTCAAGGGAAAAAAAGAAGGAGAAGGAATAATTATCCTGTACAATGTACACTTGCCTCAAGTCAAAGATGTAAAAGGCCACCTTAGGCTGCGGGTGATACTCCCTATAATGGCCTCTACAGGGAGGTCTTGCCTGAAAGGGTACCTTTTTTAGGCTTCAGGTATATAAATGGGTAGGGATACAACTACCGGTAGTTGAAGAATATGGCAAGGGTAGTGGAATCAGCCATTTCAGTCACTGTACAAAGGCCTGAGAGGGCTAACAGATGTATTTTCTGGCTGGGAAAAAGTTGAAAAAATGTCAGGTTTTGTGATTTACTCATATTTCAAAAATAGTGCATTTTCAGCAGTTAAAAGGGATGCAACGGTATGTAAAAGGGGTACCATTTTTAAATGGAGGGTACACAAAAGGGGTACCCTTTCTGTCAAAAATGGTATATAAAAGGGTAACAGAGTGACTCCCTTGGAATGGAGCCTTCCAGTATAAGACTTTGTTGAGTACCCCCAACTCCTCCCTGGGACCTCAGGTTGTGTACAGTGCGGTACGCATGATTTGAGCTTTATATTGCATTTCACACAGAGCTCAAAATTTATTACACATTACAATTTTGGGGCGTCTGAGGGGAGATATTAACAGCTAATGCCAGCTAAGGGCCTTTTCCTGCCTCTCCTACTTTCTAACAGAAAATAATCCATGGGGACGAGGGTGAAAGAGAAGGGAGAAAATGAAGAAAATAGTTAATGAGAGCTAAAGACTAAGACTTACTAACAATATAAAAGCGGTAGTATGAATGTAGGTGCAATCCCAAAACACTTAATACTAAGGAAAAAGTTTTATTTTTTAGCATATTTTTTAACATAAATTATTTTTAGCATAAAAATGACTAGTCAAGACAAATGATAAATGAAAGCAGCAGAGCAAGTACCAGTACTTCCTGAAGAACTATTAAGTTTAAACTAACCCCTGTCCCAGATTTGATTGCATTTTCAATCTTTTCTTTTGGCATGCTTATGGTTCTTGCTTTTTCAATAAGACCTTCCAAGCGACTATTAAACTTAACATCTGGCCCTGACTCTGAAAAAGAAAAGTCATCCACTAGTTGAATAAAAAATAACTGCAAAGCAATTCAAAACTCCTGTAAGCAACCAGCCAAAATGTAAAGATGTACTTGTATAGTGCTTATATCACAGGTCAAAATTAAATTTTTTTAACCTAGGTTGACTGTCTATTTCCTTAACCTGAATTTAATTTTGACCTGTAACACTTATATATTCTAATATGTTGATCATGCACCTGTCACTAATGATACTATAACTTAATTTATAGAAATTTGTACATCATACAAGAAGGCAGTGGGCTGCTCACACCTGTGCACGGACTGGTACAATAATATTTATATGATTATTATACATACGTGCTATTAACCTCCTGCAAAAAAAAGGGGAAAAAGACTTGTGTCATTCTATATATTTCCCAGGAGAGCAAAGGTCGCACCAAGTGTTAAGATCACTCGCCTGCCACCAATGTGGCCAGGTTTGCATCCCAGTGTCGATGCTCAGTGTTTGTTCAGTTTGTTGTTGGCTCCTTGCCTGTTGCTCTGGGGGATTTTTCTACGAGACCCCTTATTTTTCCTTCTTCTCAAAATCCAACACATCAAATTTTAAATTTTCAACCAAGAAAGAAAGAGCTTTGTACCACGACACCCACCCACCCCTTGGGTGGTGTGATGATAATATTGTAAAATCATAATTAAAAACATGATTTACAAAAGGGCCCAATAATATTCATTTTATTCATTTAATATAAAATTAATAAAATTGGTAGCATAAGTATTGTTTATAATGATTAATTTTTTTTTTCTCTTTTGGAAAATTGACCATCCCCACACCATGACCTACCCTATGGCCTACCCCATGGAGTGGGCCATGGTCCACCCCATATTTTGTCCTTTGCCTCGGACGGTAGATATACTCTTGAAATATCCTTCTTTTTTTCTTTACAGCCTTTATGAGTCGTAATTAAATTAAACTCAATAGTATTGTCTATAACTATTTATTTCACTGTAAAGTAAGCTTAAATGATAGACTTATCCTTACCCCTAACAGCTGTAATAATCTCCATCGAAAGTTTTCCAAATTCCTTGCTTCGAGCAAAGTCAATGTGTGCCTTCTTGAATTTAATATTTTGCCATTTACTGTGACCCTTATATCTCAAATGCATTCTTGAAACGTTCAGTAACGTACAAGGACAGAAACATTCAGAAACACGGGCAGGAAAACAAGTGACAAGAGAACAAGTTTTTCGAGCAAATGTAGCCGCCATTTTGGGTTCTGAAATAGAACAAATGCTTTACTTAGCGGGAGTGGGTAAGTAGAACTTTATTTCAATATGTTTCCGAAAACCTGATTATTTTAAGAAAGTATATCTGTTTTATATCTTTACAACTAACTGGGCATTATTCTACACCTTTTACAAGTTAAAATTGAGTTATGAAAACTTTAAAGTATCGGGTACAGTTTTATAGCGCGGTATATCCCCTCCCATACACCAATTTGAGCGTGGTTACTAAGTATTTATTCATGACACGTTCATGCAAGAAGAAAGAAACAGTGTAGTTTTCAACGACGAATAACTCCTTTTTATTCAATTTTCTCCCAATAATCTGGACGGAATAGGTAAGAAAACCATGGAGTGGTTTATGGGAAGTATTCCGGAGGCTATAGGGAAATCCAGACAGAACGGATTACTATTTATTGTTTACATTGAAGGTAAGTCTCACCCAACATGAATGAATCATGGTCATATTGAAGAAGTCGACTTATTTTGGATTACACCAACCTTATTTTAGCTTAAATTGTATTTTGTAGTTTTTTTTCTCTTTTCGATGGTAATTATACTCAGTGATTCACAAAGCAACTTACCTGAATCATTCATATCTGATTATATAAAAAGTGAAAATAATATAAGTGAGCTTATTAATAAGTACAATTTGTTGCAATAGAGAGGACAAGTGTTACATTACCATGGGAGCAAATTAAAGGGAGCTTAAGCAAAACTTGAACAGCCAAAAAGCAATAGGTTTAGATTAGCAAAATAACAACTTTGCACATACATTGCGCTTAAATGTACATTTCTTTGCTGTCGTTGCACAACTGCAACATGAAACTTCCTAATTTCACACACCCGCCCGACTGAGGTGGATGTGGTCTTAAGTAACACATAGCACAAGGAGCTCTGAATTTTCGTGCATGGAAATCTTTGTCTGTAGGAATGGCTACGTGTGCAAGGACCTGCACTGATGTTGTGGTAAAAATATTCAGAGATGCCAACCGCTGGAGATCTAAAACCAGGAGACTTTGACCTGTTTCTTTGGTAGTACAACAAACCCCCCACTTACAAAAGATACAAAACCCTTTACTCTTCCAAGATTTCCATGGTTATTTCCTTAAGTCCTTGAAAACGCTCCAAAATGGCTTTAATTTCTTCCATTTCCTGTTGACTTTTTATTTCACTGCCAGCAATGCAGGTGGCTAATTTGTTCAGTTGTCTTGTTTTCATCGCTTTCAACTTACGTGTTCCAGTTTTCAAGTTTTTTCCTTTCATTAAAGAGTCCCCAGCTGAATTTCTTTTATCTGGCATCTTTACACTGATTTTTCACTCAAAATCCACAAAATTTCCTCAGATAAATACTTGTCACTTTGCCAAAAAAAGCATAACAACAAAGGCAATTGCAACAAGCCACAAACCTGATCCAAAGTTGACTTAAAAACAGTTTTTCCCTCTAACATTCCAGCTTCTAAACTGATCATTTCATTGCAGGTGACAATGACGCAACGCAAAAAATGAATTCAGTATGGTCTGATCCTAAGGTGTGTAAAACAGATCTCTTTTTAACCACTTCTTCTTTGGTTCCAGCCTGCTACTCCCAGCAGGTAGCATGTATGCTACCCAAACCTCCTAGGTCCAGCCAGTGGGGGGGTGGTGGGATACAAATACATCTGATTTTTTTTGTCCTGAAAAATTTAAATACCAACCTGCTTAATGGTTGATTCTTAATATTTAAATTCATATGCTTATGCAGAGTACTGTATACCTGAAATTTTGGCAACAAATTACTGTTTACCAGGGTAAAAATGCCTAAGATACTGTAATACCCAAAAAATACATCAATATCCAAACCCTCTGGCATTTCAGATGATAAAAAAAGAATTTCGTGATATAATAATATTATTCTGTTATGACATTTGCATGCTCACAATCTTTGCACAAAGATTCCTGCTAATGGCAATAGTTGATGAACCATACATGAAAAAGTTGAAAGTGCCTGTGGCAGCTAAGATATTCTACAATCTCGTGTCATTTTTTTGTTTTTTAATTGTGACACATGCAGATTTGCAGTTGCTACACAAATAAGCATGACTGCTACATTTAGCCTAGTGAAAACAGCCAAATTTTCACTGGTTTCCCTGCAAAATGACATCTGTTGAAGGAATGCAGAATTTCCATACTGATTACATATCACAGTTCTGGCTAGTGCTTCTGGTTAGTTGAAGCAATTTTCAACCAATTAGAAACACTACTCAGTTCTTGACATTAGCACATCATCAGTGTGGAATTTCTGGGTTCATTCCTCAGATATCACTTTGCAGGGAAAATACTGGCCTGGTGGCATGGCAAAAAGTCAGCTGTTTTCTCAGGCTTTGTTACTGTGGGAATGTTTAGTTTAGATAAGGACATGGCTGTTGATGGACATTTGGTAAGTTGTCACTTGTCACGTTAACAGAAACCTAGGGCCCTTTAAAATATTGGATGCTCTCATTTAGGACATAGAATACTTGAAATAATGAGGATGTGTTCAGGTTGAGTGAGTGAGTGATTGTGTTGTTGGGTGAGTGAGGAAGTGAGTGGGTGGATGGGTCAGTGAGTGAGTGCCACCTTTGTATATTTTAGTGCCTCTTAAGAACATAGTGGATATGCTATGAGTATCCATGAGTTAATAATGGAGCAATTATTCCTGTCCACTTCCTTTACATGTGTCACAATGCTTTGAGGAGAGTAATAGCCGTCCCTCAATTAATCGTCTCCCTCAAATGATCGCCCCCCTTTGATGGAAATATTTAAAATAATCGCCGCCCTCGAATAATCGCCCCACCCCACCCCTCTCGCCAGTTTTCTCTTTCTTTTATTCCCTCCCTGTGTTGAAATGGAATCAGATCCAGCAAAAGTGATCAGTGACTATTCAAGCTCTGAAAACTAATCAAGGAACCAAAATTGGAACACTTAAGGAACACTTAAGAAATGTTCAGTTTATTTGATGTGATAATTTTTTGATTTAATGGGATAATAAAACACAATATTTAGGGCACGACTGCCAGTGGCAATCTTTGAAATAATCGCCTCCCTCGAATAATCGCCTTGCCTCAAATTATCGCCCCCAGCTATTATTCGAGGAAATATAGTAAAAGAATAGGAACTTTTTCATAGAGATAAGTGGCAAGGTATTCTGAAGTTAAACCCAATAACAGACTTTACCAACAAAAAAAATAGCTTCTTTGAGCTGCTTACAGTGGATATAACAGGCTCCTATGTTTTATTTAATTATTTAGGTTGCTGGGACATTATCCAAAGATAAATGTGTAGCTATTAAACTGGATCATAAGAGGTGAGAAGAAACATTATATAAATTCTTCACCTGCAAGAAGAACTAAATTTACTTTTCAACCTTTTAAGTAACAACCACCAAGTAATATATACATTTCTCCTGTATTTAAAGTGATTTAATAACACTGGACTGCAAACATGGCGTCTAGCACACATTTGTCATATATTATTTTATTACTATTAGATCTATACTATTCAAATTTTCATTTTGTTTATTTTGTTGCTTCTCTTAATCCAATTTAGTGAGGACTGCAATCAGTTTTCTAAGCTCTGTATCCTTTTACATTTACACTTCTCGGTAGAATGTGAACTGCTGAATGTATGTAAATAAATACATTTTTTCCCTCGTACTACATGTGATTTGCAGGTGTAAATGTGTTTACAGACCTTATGTCACATCTGAACTCCTGCAAAGCAAACCCTCTACCTTTTATGCCATGTAACATAAGTTACAACACACAGCATTCTGCTCAGATTAATGATTACTGTTATTGTTGCTCATCTCTATTTTCCAGAAGCCACAACCCAAACTTTAAAATAGTTTAAACAGCTGATATTGTCTACCACAACAAGACAAACTGTTGCCTAAAATGAAAAACTTGTTGAGTTTTCCCCTGTCACTTTTTAGCTGTCTCTATAATATAGACACTTTGGTTATATACAAATCCTTAACAGCGTTAAAAGACCCCATTGTATGTATCCCTGTCACATACTTTATTGGTGAAAATGGTTTACCTTTAGAAGTTATCGGTGGAGACCTCCCAGTTGATGACTTTGTTTCCAGAGCTAACAAGGCATTAGAGGTACTACATGTAACAGTACATAGCAATACAAACACAGTACAAAACGGCCTTGCATGTTTGCAAATTATACAGTAAAGTCAGGCTTGATAGTGTGATTGTCAAACTTTAAAATAACACTGCTTGTTTCTGTGATCAAATCATGGCTGCTGCTTCCTCTGTTAGCAAGAGAAATTATGTTTTCATTTTGTATCATATTTGTGTGTGGTTATTATACAGTGATTTCTATATTATTAGTTATAAAGAAAAATTAGTAATGCATTATAAGTTATGAGCTTTCAAGAAAGCTATAACTTTGACATACATAACATTCTCTATTGAATGCCATTTTAGACTCACCAAAAGTCAAGACCAATTATTAATAATAGCACAATAACACCCACATCCACCAACAGCGTACTTCATGCAAGTCCAGACATTTCTAGTTCAAATCAACATTTTGTGGACCAAGAACAGCCCGCAAGACAAGAGACAACAAGTGAAGTACCAGCTGTCCCAGGACCATCACAGGTGAATATTAACGCCATTTTTTCTGTCTTATCAAGATTGCTGTTGGAATTGTAACCTGTTAAGTACTTTGTTTTGTTTAGTGGGTTGCAACAAATGTCATTGACCTATGGTAGGGCGGGCTCCTTATAAAGCCTATGTGAAGACTCATTCACTTTTGTTTGCTAACCCTAAGCCCTAATAACTAAACTTTAATGCAAACTTATGCTACATTGTGTAGATGTCATAAGATGTCTGACCTCCTTCAGGTTGATGTAACTTTTTCTTCACCTGTTTATTAAATCTGTCTTTAATAAAAATGAAACTTTACACAACACTCTTGGCTAATCACTTTCATTGGGGTTTTCTTTCAAGTCTTACAGGAAATGTGGTTGAAGGTTTTCTTGATTTGTTTGGACTTCTATGCAGATGTTTTAGAAATAACAGTGTGTTTTTTTTTCCCAGGAACCCACTAACAGCAGCAACCAGGAGAAGTCCTTAAATGAAAGAGTTCAAAGGTTGGATATTTAACGGATAGACATTACATTATTCATACTGTACAGGCACAGATCCACACTGGTTTCCATCGTTTTAAGAAAATCGATCAAATTTTCCACAAATAAATATATTTTTAATGGAACTTTCTCAGGGTGCAAAGAAAGTCAGTTTTACAGCTTGCCATTCGGGCAAGCTGTAGCTAGCATGTACTAGCCCAAAAGTCATTTCAACTAGCCAGAAAATATTTGATGAGCAAGTGATTACATTATTCTGTAATTTGAATTTGCCCCCCAAAAAGTCACTTGCCTATCAGGCAAGTTAAGAACAGCATTCACTAGTCTGACAGCAAAATCTACTAGCCCCAGGCTATTGGACCTAAGGGACCGGTCATTATTTATGTGGGGGGGGGGGGGGGGGGGGGGGTTTTTTTTTTTTTTTNGTGACCCAACCCCATCCCCCTTCAATCTATACCTCTACAGTCAAACTACCTGACGCGTGAACACCTAGACATCATTATTGATTTCATTAATTGATTATTGAAAAAATAAGTTTTGCAATATTCAAATCGAAACCAGTTTAAAAAAATTTCCTCCTTTAAACAAAAAATAGTAATTCATTCAAAAAAACGAATTTTCAAACTATTTTTGATTTGAAAATTGGAAAAATTTGATTTCACTAAATTGAGTAATGAATTCAATAATCCATTATTGAAACTAATAATGATTTCTAGCTGTTCACGCTTCAGGTAGTAAAAGTTCCCAGACAGTTATGTTAAGAAAAGGGAGCATGCAAGCCTTCTCAATAAGGGCTTATGTTTATTTATTGATATTTAGTGCCCACATCTTTGAATCTCCACACTTAGATTGGATTGCTAGATATGACATCCAGTTGTGTTATATTTTATGTCCAGCATTGCATTAGAATTTATTTAGATCTTCCACATGAATTGTAGTGAGTGTGATTCTTTACAAAACACACACAATGACCCACCCCTTTTCTCTAAAAAAAATAGGCCTGGCCCACCCCATGATTTTTCCCCCCCACCCCCCCACATAAATAATGACCGGTCCCTAACTTTCTTTGTACGCTGTTTCCATGTTAAAATCTGGCCGATATCCTATCTGAATGACTCAGAAACCCAGGAAAGGTGACTTTAGGGAGTTAAAATCCAAAATATTTCACAGGCGTGCATGCCACCAGACCCCCCTAGAAGCTTGTGACTTCAGCACTAGTTTAGGAAATCAGTTTGTATTTATCCTAGATCCACACCTGACATGTTTACAGTTTGTAGAACAACTGCATCAACAATACCTCTAAGACTCTTTCACAGACCCTCCTCTCCTCTGGAAATTCCACCTAAATTTCTTACATTTCTTTTACTTTTTGATGCCCCCTCCTTCCCCAGGAAATTCCAATCTCTTCTGTGGGGAAAGGTGGGAGGGGGGGGAAGGGGGGGCTATGAATATGTTGTTACAATATGAAAATATCTTAACAAGCTATTAATATGATTTTTTCATTTCAATGTGACTAAATTATATCACGTGAGCAGAGTCTGCTTTTTTGCGATATACACCGTATAAGTAGCCTCTGCCGACCACCATCCTACATTGTAAATTTATTGTGTTTGGGCAAGTTTCTTGAGCGTACTATGGTGTGTTTTCTTTAGTCCGAAATAAATGCAATCCTGTTTTGTTGATTTTCCCTTTTCTGTTTACCTGTTTAGAGCAAAAGATCTTATTGAAAGAAGAAGACAAGAAAAAGAAGAGCAAGAAAATCAAGTAAGTTTGGAGGCCACTAGATCCACAAAATTAGCTGGGAAAGTGCCCTTGTGGTTTATTAAATAAGTCTGAAAAAAGGCATGCTACACGTCAACATCCAAATTGCTTCCTTTGCATTGTTATCCACACTACTATTTAATAATTATTCCTCAAGCCCGAATGAGCTCTGAGTCAATAGCCCTTGAGGCCAAAGGCTGAATGGGTTATTGACTCAGAGGCCACGAGGGCAAGAGGAATAATTGTTTTAGTAAAATCCAACTAGTTGCAGTGCTCGACTTTCAGAAAAAAATCTTGGGGCCAACGGGCCCCCAAGTTTTCATTTTTGGTCGCCAGAACAAGTATTCTAGTCACCAAAAATTATATTTAAGAACTAATGGGATAAAATAAACTTAACATCTTTAACTTAGCCTTAACAGAAAATGAATGGTTTAGACTTCCTTTGAACTTGCTTTCGAATGGTTTTCGCTGACGCTCGATTACCAGCCGGTGTTCTGTAAAATGAATCCGCACTCAAGCGTAAATCTCCTCAAACAGGTATTCAAGCTTAAGGTTCAGGAAATGGAATACACATTAAAAAAACAACATTTAGGAATCACAAAAAAACTTATTTGGGTTATGAAAGAACAAAATCTGCAAAATTTGTTTTGCGTCCCATGTATTTGCATGTTCAGAACTGAACATCGGTGAAACTTCATCTATTGCGCGGTTGCCTAACACGTGATCGAAAGTCTCCAGAAAGACCAGAAAGAGGAAACGTTGCTAATGTTTTCGGGCAAAGAAGTTGATTTCGCGAGAAGTCTGTTAGACAAACAGCATAACTTCAACTTTACTTAATTAGAAGTCAATAAAATACGGCAGAGCTTTTATTTGCGTCGTCACGCTCAACAGAAATTTGCGTAAAGTTGTTTACAATAATTGCGAAGCTCGAGAAGTAAGCGCTGTTCGTTCTCGATTAGCTTCGATTAGCTTGAGCTTTTATCAGACTAATCTGTTATCGAGTCCGCAATCGAGATACATGTTCGACATAAAGAAATTGTTTTAAATATCGATGCGCTGAAAGTCATTCCTGGAGAAACATGGGACGATTTGTTGAGAATTGCGATCGATTTGTCCGAAAGTCGATTAAAGTCTTCCGTCGAATTAATTCATTTCACAATCCTCTTTCAAGTAAACGTAGATAAGAGTGTTGGAAGAAATCGTTTAAGCCTTTAGACAAATCATTAAAACGTTTAGACAAACCTTTAGAGCGTTTGGGCAAAACGTTAGAGCGTTAGAAAAACCGTTAGCTATCCGTTAGTTGTGTAAAGGATAACAAATTATCATTAGTGTACGTTTACCCAAAGAAGAAAGTCACCTATCTTGGGGGCCAGGTTGGCGACCAGGCGTGAAAATTTAGTCGCCACTGAGCAAAAGCTGGTCGCATTGGCGACCCCACGGGTCGCAACGTCGAGCCCTGAGTTGGTCAAAAGAATGGAGAATAAAAAAATTTAGCTAGTTAAAGCTAGACTTTAATCCTTTTTGGCTGCCAAAAAGCCCACGCTTTTCGCTACTAGTGGGCTATAGCCTAGTAGTAGCTCAACCAATCGGAACACAGCATTGAAAATAGACCACTAGTTGGATTTTACTAATAACTAATAGCTTTAGTTAGTTTCTGATTTCTTAGTGTGTGTACGCTTACAGGAGTTTTGACTTAAGTATGGAAAGACAAATGACCCAGCCAAATATGAATTATAATTTATTTATTTATTTATTACAGATTCACCCCACTGCATAACAAGCAAATAATGAAATGAAATAAGCTAACACTACTTTAACAAACAAACAAACGAAGAAAAAAAAAAAAAAGTTGTGGAGAAGGAGATAACCAAAAGCACCAATGCGCCATACTAGGGATGTCCCCACTAATTAACATTAACACAAGAAAAATATATACAAATAGAAATATAAATGTTCTAGTTATCCTTAATAAACCTTAACACACTTCTTTTAAAAGTTGCAATACTGTTTGATTCTCTAATATGATTGGGTAAACCATTCCATTCATCTACAACACGGTTAAAAAAACTATATTTAAAACCATCAGAACCAAATTGAGCTTCCATCAAGCGACCATCCTCTATTAAGAGACCAGTAATCATAATGACAGAAAAGACTAGTGTAGGCAATTAAACCTCTGTCAACAAGAGTTATCCTATTCTTGTCACCTCTATTAAGCGGCTTTCAAGCTCCTGGTATTATGTTGGAAAATACAGTCTGAGATAGGTGACGACTGATTGTGGACCAGTAAAGCTGCTCCCCAAAATTGCATCGGTTTGTTTCAAACTCAGGTCATGTTTCTGCTAAAGATCATGCTAATTTATGACGAACCTCTTTTGAAGGACCACTTGCTGTCACCTCAAGTAGGACTTGAAATTAATGTTTTGAATAACTAACCCTTGGGTTAGTGGGCATAAATTTTACTAACCAAATTATAAAGTTTATTAGCCAAGAATTTGTTCTTGAAATAACAAGATTTTCACTATTGAAAGTAGTGCTAATAAATGGGGCAGACTAATGTGTGGATGGATTGGTTCAAATTACATGATGATCTGCAAAACAAAATATCCAGAAGATTTAATGCTCATTTACATTTTCCTTTCAATTACGTTACGCAAGGGCAGGGAATTCACCATAAACACTGCAAAACGTTGTTTCTTTAGACTCATCGAACTGCAGCCAAGTGAATGCCTTTTTCTATTCTTGGCGGAAAGTTCTTTCTTACTGTACTTATTAAACAATTTCTCCCTGAAGTTTTGGACATATCTGTAAGTGAATATTTTTTAATATCATATTTACCAGCTAAGTAAATTCTTATTTCAGGAGGCCAAAAAGAAGGAAAGTGACCGACGAAATCTTGGACAAGAGCTGGCAAAAGCCAAGCGTGAACGTGAGGAGAGGCAAGCCCAAGATATTGTTAATCAAATTAAGGAAGACAGAGCTAAGGAGCGTGCACACAGGGAAGCTGTGCGACAACAGATTGCACGAGACAGAGCTGAGAGGGAGGCAAGGAGGCAGAATGAGCTGCAAGAAAGACAGCGTTTAACTCAAGCTGCTGCTACTTCTTCAGCTCCTTCTCCTGTCGCCTCAGGAGGCAGTGACAGGTAAAACAACGCTGATTGGCTTTTACGAAAATCATGTTTAGGAACTGAGCGGTTAAGAATTAAATGGAAGAAGGTCATTGCAGTTATAGACGCAACTTTTGCAGTTGCGAAAAGAAAGCCCGGAAAAAATTCAA